CTCAATTAAAAAAAAATAAAAATTCCATTTTCGTTCAAATGCAAGGATAATAGGACTGCATATATCATGAGTACAATCAGAATCAGATTATTGAATCGTTACCTGCATGAGAGGTTTTCTGTCAATCTGAAAATGATAAGTGAAAATTGACTAATTTACCAGAATTCAAGAGATATCCAATATTCATAACAAAATATATCATAGACCTAAAAAGTGATTAACTAAACAAAAATTAAGCAGATATTACACAAAGGAATTGTTAAAGAGATGTAATAATATAACCTTTATCACAGCTAATGACTCTTAATAAAATTTATAAAATTGCTAAAGAGATGTAACATTGAGCTAATTAGTATGTATACCTTCAATTGGAATATTTAACTCTAACTATCATATCATTTAAATGTAATCTTAATGGGGATTCCATTTGAAAGCTTTAACGTTCAATTTACACAACAGGAATCTCAGATGGTATTAATTTACTTCCAAGAGTCCCATTAATGAGTCAATATTTTAAAATTTTGATGAATCCCACCTTCATTAAACAATTGATCCTGTGTTCAGAAATTTGAGTGAGTCCAAGCCAAAAAAAGTGTCCTGCATGACTCATCAGTGGTGCTTTACTGAGAATCCAGGCGAACATGAATCAAAGGGCTAGTCAAAATGAAATCTTCTCTATGCTTTTAAACCCAATAGTTTATTCAGAATCAACTTAAATATATTTTCAAATTATCATATGATGCAGCCTTACGACCAACAATGGACAACAGGATCTGTAGAATATACTGACCTAATAAGGGTAAGTTATATTAGAAAATTTCACGAATATCAGCATAAATTAAAGATATTGTCATTATAAAATGGAAAAAACTATTTTAGTATTGAGGAGGGTATTGGAAATTTATGTTGGCTGACCAATTTTTGGTGAAATCTTATTTGTTTATAGAGTAAAATAAAAGTAATAATACTGGAATCTACAATCAAACACTCAACTGCTGATATTACTTATCTGACTTATAGCTGTGTTTTTGGTGGGGTTAATTGTGAAGCTCAATTTTCAATTTTTATTACATCCTTGTCCTTGGCGAAGAATTAAGTATTGGCAATTATACCACATCTCCTCATTTTCACAAGTTGGACTGCTGTTTGCATTTTTTTTTTGTATTTCCTTTTGTCTGTTTTCCTGGAGTTATGGGTTTTAATTACACCCTTGGCATCTTTTTCCCCTTTTTGGTTATTATATATATCCCAAAAACTACCGATTTTCTTTGTGTTTACAAAAGTTTTCCATGTTTGTCTGTCATATTTAATTTTCTACCCTATTTTTCCAAGGAATTCCCAGTTTGTACACCAATACACACCGACATGTCCAAGGATACCTGAGTTTTTATGTGGAATTGCATGGACATTATGCAGAAAGATCAGTTTGTATGCTGACATGTCCAAGTAAATTATATATTGTATGAGAAATTTTTGCATGTAATTGCTACTTTCATCTAAAAAGCAGTTTTCATTTCTGTATTCACTTAAGCTAGATATATATATATATATCTACTTCCAAACATATATAACTTTTAAATATGAATTGAACTGAAATAAAACCTTTCTTCTTCCACTTAAAAGCTACATGTATTGATAGTCCTACATGTTTATACTTAACTAATTCCAAATTAAGATTTTTGTTATGTGTTTAACATGTTTAATAAAAAAAAAATTGTGAAAATTGTTTTCATTTTTCATTGTACAAAAAGTTCTTTAACGCTTAAGTGCTTCAAGTACATATTAGTAATATCAAATATGAGTTTATGAATAAAAAAATTAGACTCTTGAGGATTATTTCAATTTAAATCAAGTGTCGCAGATATTGGACATTTTATAATTACTTCCCTGTGTACATCTCTTTCTGTCAAAATGTTCATGGTAAGAATGTTCAAATAATTCAATACCTCATCTATTTCAATACTTAAAATTTAAATTTTTTTTAAACTCTAGAAGGGGTTTGAGAGGGGGGAGGGGGAAAAATTTTACACAAGGATCGTTGTTTAAAAATTAATTGTATAAAAAGGAGATGTGTTGTATATTTATGTCAATGAAACATCATCCCAATGAAACAAAAATCAGAAGATTTCATTGTTGTTTATTGGGCGTGGTCTGTTATCTTTGATTTAAAACTTTTGATTTAAATCATAACATGAACAGTTAATAGTTATTGCAAATGAACCACTGGAGATGCCCACCTCTGTCATACAATCCTAAATTAATCAAAATAAACTGTTAACACAGAGATATGTCTCGCCTTCTCATTATTTTGATAATGCAAACGTTGAAATTAAATTAGCAATACTTTACATGTAAGTTATGCAGATATTTAAAGTCAATGAACCATGGAAATGAGATGCACCAATGCTAATACAACAGCATACCAAATACCATTGACTTATCATAACTCATTCCCTTTAAACAAACCTAAGCACAAACATTAACTTTTAAACTATGTAAAAGTTTCAAAGTCAATGAACCATGATGATGGGGTGGGACTATATAATCTCTATGGAATGAGAATTGCAAACCAAATATCATTGACTTAACATTAGTGGTTCATCTTAAACTGACATAATCACAAACTAATACATGTAAACTAAGAAAAAGTTTCAAAGTCAATAGACCATGACTGAGGGGTAAGGACCGAATATTCTCCATGGAAATGAGATATGCCAATGCTTATTAAACTGCATACCAAATATCATTGACCAAAACACTAATGGTTCCCTTTTAACTGATCTAATCACAAACTAATACATTGTACATGTAAACTAAGCAAAAGTTTCAAAGTTAATAGACTATGACTGAGGGGGCAGGGCCAAGTAATCTCCATGAAAATGAGGTATGCCAATGCTTGTAAAACTACATACCAAATATCATTGACCTGTCACTAGTGGTTCCCCATAAACAGACCTAATCACAAACTAATACATGTAAACAAAGCAAAAGTTTCAAAGTCAATAGACCATGACTGAGGGTTAATGACCAAATATTTTCCATTGAAATGAGCTGTGCTAATGCTTATACAACTGTATACCAAATATCATTGACCTACCACTAGTGGTTCACATAAAGTCATAAACTAGACCTAATCACAAACTAATACATTGTTGACAACGGCACTGTCGTTAACGATGCCGAAAACAGCATACCTATGTCTCGCTTTTTTTTTATTCTGTCAAGGCGAGACAAAAACAATTGTTCAGAGAACAATTGAAGGTCTTTCCACCCCAAATGCACATATTTTGATAGGAAAACTTTTACCTTGACCATAATTTCAAGGTCATAAAGCAAGGAACTTAAATCAAAAGACCCTAGGTCGCTACTATATATGGTTAATGAGTTATGTCATCATATAGGTAATTTTAAATATAAGAGGGGAGAAAACTCCCATTAAATGTCAATGTACCCTTTCAACCAAAATGTATGTGTTACAACATGTTGAAACTATCAATCAAATCATTTTGTTGATATCGTATATGGCTACTGAGATAGATAGATAGATAGATAGATAGATAGATAGATAGATAGATAGATAGATAGATAGATAGATAGATAGATAGATAGATACTCTATTCTCTAAAAACTAAATAAAAGTTTACAGAGAGAAAGTACAATTAAATCAAAAAAAATAGTTGAGGGTATGCAGTTGCAACTTTATCATGACATACATGTATAATGGAAACAGAGGAGAAGCAAAAATAGGCCAAAATCAAAATTTAAAACAGACCTTGACCTCAATTTCCTTATGGTGGACAAAGGACCTCAAATAAAAAGACCCTCCAAGGTCTCTCTGTCACTTATGGTTTGTAGTTACAAATACATTTCACTTATTTCAAATACAGAAGGGGAAATAACTCTCATATGGAATCTCTGTATCCCTTCAGTCAAAATTTAACAAAATATCTTGAGAATATAACAATCAATTTGGAAAAATAAATTTGTCAGTTTATTTTACAGTTGCGAAAGAGTAGAGATAAGAAAAAATAGCATTCAGGCAGATACCTCTTACAAGGAAAAGTGTTCAGTTAAACAGTGTTGGTTTCTAAAGCATATAAACTGTTCGATATCATATACTAAATATCTCAGCATCATTTTGTAAAACCAAATGTCCCCTTAAAAAAATAAAAGACGCGGAAGAAAAAAAAAGTTTAAAACAAGTCCTAATGGTCTTTCCATGGAAAGAAAACCTGGTTATAAATAAGTTTAAATTAGTCCAATATTTTCAGTAAAGATCTTCCTTTCAATGCTAAACATCTGACTATAAGCATGTCATAGGTGTAGAACAGTGTAAATTCATTATGGTAAACATGCTATAACTAATTCATTTACTGTAAATTCAGAAATTATTGCGAGGTTTTTATTATTGCGAAAAATGCGACAGAGTTGAAAACGCAATAATTTAAACTCGCATTTTGAAATATTTTATATGAATTAAACAGGGTTTATTTCAAAATCGTAAAAATTGAAATCGCATTTAAGTCTAAAATAATAAATGCACGCAATAATTTCTGAATTTACAGTATACTGTGAATATGTAGCATGTACATATAGTATATATCCGTCATTACATATCAAGACGTAAAGCACCCATTTATAATAACAATTACTAATACCTTAATATTTTTTGGGCAAACCATTTTTTATATGTCTGAATAGATTCATATTAGAGAGTTTTTTCCCCATATATATTTCAGATATAAAGAGAAAAATAATGGCCTCATCAGTCATCCACCTTTGTACAATTTGCTATGATGATGGAATCTCCAACTCAGCAGTCACATGGTGCACAGAATGTGAGGTTTTCTTTTGTGGAGACTGTGAAAAACCTCACAGCAAGTCAAGACTGTCTAAGAACCATAAAACCATGTCAGCTGAAGATTATCAAAATTTATCTACATTCATGCAAGATATAAGCAGTCAGTGCAGAGACCACAAGAAGAAATTTGAGCTTCAACGCCTGTCCCTGCTGTGTCCAGTGCATCACTGATAAACACCAAAAATGTCAAGACATGAAACCCTTGTCTGATATCCTACAGCAAGTAAAATTATATGCCTCAGTTCAACTTTTTGAAAAAGATTTGAAGAATGTAAAGGAAAACTTTGATACAGCCATAACGTACCTGAAAACCAGGATCAGTACCATCAATACTCAGTAAAACAACAGCTGTTGAAGAAATCAGATATATGAGGAAGTCGATCAATGATTACTTAAACAAATTAGAGCAAGAAATACTTAATGAATTAGAGTCTAAACATTTAAAGCTTAAATTAAACATGGCCACTCTTGTGCAACAAATGGAACAGCAAATTAGTCAGATAAATCAAATGCAGAGTCAGAGCTACAAATGCATATTGGTCTGAGAGAAATTGAGAAAACTACATCACAAATGGCAAAATATTTAGAAGATTTAGAAAGTGGAGACAACTTCATTGAAAAGAATCTAGAGGTTAACATTTCATCTGCTCTTCAATCAATATTACAAGATGTCAAATCATTTGGAGATATTAATATAAATACCAACTCTTCTACTCTCAAAATAAAGGCTGGAAGAATAGATCAAGCCCAACACTTAGTTCCAAAATATCCTAGGATTGAAAAAATGAAGCCATCATTGTTGACAAGACTGAAAATTCCAAAAGATAAGAAGTCTTGTAAGTATATTCGCCTGTCTCATACTACCTAATGGCAAATTTATATTACTTGATTACAATAAAAGACAAGTACTGCTGTTCAGTAATGATGGCATATTCATCAGAAAAGTAGTTACATTCAAAGATTATACATGTGATGCTTGCTTTGTCAGAAATAATACAGTGGCTGTCGCATTAGGATTAGAAAACAAGACAGCAATGGTGGATATAGAAAAGAATAAAATTATTCACACAATTAACTTTTCTCATAATTGTTATGGAGTAGCAAGTGATGGTAAAACTTTGATCATCAGTTGTGGTGGTGGTCAGTGTACTACAGCGAATCTGAATGACATGTCTCATACAATCGTAGAAGGAATGGGAGGAGTGTATCATATTTCTCTATCCCAAGGAAATATCTACGGCACCCTTTACAGTGAAAGCAGAGTCTGCTGCTATAATAGCACTGGAGAACCTCTGTGGACATTTCAGCACCAAGACATTGCCAGCCCAGTAAGACTTACATTAGACAGGAATTGCTTTGTTTATATAGTTTCTTGTGAAAACAGCAGTATTGTGGTAGTATCACCAGATGGAAAAACCTGTAAGATCGTACTATCTCAAGCAGATGGAATCAAATCTGCAATAAACATCAACAGAGAAAGAGGAATGATGATAGTGTCAAGTAAAATAAGTGATGATAGTAGATACTATGATTCAGCTTTTGTTTAAAGTGTTCAATGCATATATGATTATCAAGGGTATGATATCTTCCTTATTAATAAGGACATATTCCCCATTTCCATTCTCAATTTTATTAGCACTAGCCACCCAGACCATTAATTTTTTTAGTGGGCATGGGTTTTATCTAGGGACAATTTTTCCATCTTTAATGTAAAACATGCTCTTTCTATAGAACATAAAATATTTTCCCCAAAACTTAACAATCAGTTTCCACCAAAATTCACTTATGATCAGAAAACTTATATTGATAAAATTGGACATTTAAGGGCAATAAGAAGTAATCTGACAGTTTTGACGGAAATGGACAGCATTTAGATCTCAACATTGTGAACATTTCTGCCCCTGTCAGATTTTCTCTATTCATACGGGTTTTCAAGATAATAGACAAAACTTGCATATTAACCCTATGATCTATTTTTAGCCATGTCGTCCATCTTGGTTGACAAGCAGGGTCATCAGATTTATTTTTTATTTTTATTATCACATTTTCTAAACTAGATACCCCAAAAATGATTGTGGCCAAGTTTGGTTAAATTTGGCCCAATAGTTTCGGAGGAGTTGCTTTAAAGCAATGTTTTCATATTCACTAGCTAGATATATATAGATCTAGCCCCTATTGTACTTAGAACTTTTAAATATTAGTTGAACTGAAATAAAAACCTTTCTTCATCCACCTAAGAGCTACCTGAATGTATACATGTATTATGTCATGATAGTCCTACATGTTTATACTAAAAAAATTCTAATTTTTTTTAAGTGTTTAATAAAACAAAAAGTTGTGAAAATTATTGTTATTTTATGTACAAAAGTTCTTTTTATTTGCTTGCTTACAAAAACTCTTGATTTTTCAAAGAATGTTAAATGCTTCAATTACATATTAGTCATATCAAATTTGTGTTTATACATACAACAATTAAACTGTTCTATTTCAATTTAAAAAACAATTCTATGAAAGTGTTCCAGATATTGGACATTTTATAATTTCTTCCCTGTGTACATCCCTTTCTGTTGAAATGTTGTTGTGTTCATGGTAAGAGTTTTCAAATAATTCAATTGCTCATTTATTTCTATTACTAAAAATTCTAAATTTTTTAAACTCTGGAAGGGCTTTAGGGGGGTGACTGGGCCAGTAATTTCAATGGATAAAAATACTTATTTTTTTACTAAAACTATTTTTTGTGTGGTTGGCAAAATTTTACACAAGGATCAAAATGGAGATGTGTTGTATATGTATGTCAATGAAACATCATCCCAATGACACAAAAACCAGAAGATTTCATTGTTGTTTATTGGGCATGGCATGTTATATTAGATTTAAATTTACATTCAAATCATTAGTTTAACAGTTAATAGTTATTGCAAATGAAGCACTGGAGATGCCCAATTCTGCCATACCAACCCTAAATTAATCAAAAAACCAATACTTAGAAAACAATTGGAGGTCTTTCCACCCAAAATGCACATATTTTGACAGGAAAACTTTAACCTTGAACATAATTTCAAGGTCATAAAGCAAGGATCTTAAATCAAAAGACCATAGGTATCTATATAAAGTTAATGAGTTGTGTCACCATACAGGTAATTTTAAATATAAGAGGGGAGAAAACTCCCATTAAATGTCAATGTACCCTTTCAACCAAAATTTATGTGTTTCAACATAAATTTATGTCGCAAATAACAATTTGGTAAAAATATTTTGTTGATATCATATATGGTTACTGAGGAGAAGCAATAATAAGCCAATATCAAAATTTAAAACATACCTAATGATCTTTGACCTTGACCTCAATTTCTTTTTGGTGGACCAAGGACCTCAAATCAAAAGACCCTAGGTCTTTATTACTAATGGTTTGCCAGTTACAAATATATTTCCCTTATTTCACATACAGAATGGGAAATAACTCTCAAATGGAATCTATAACGCTTCCGTTAAAATTTAACAAAACATCTTCAGAATATACAGAGCAATTTGGAAAAATAAATTGAAGATTTCTTTGATGGTTGCGATATACTAGAAAATAGTGGTCGGGGAGATAACTCTTACAAGGAAAAGTGTTTGGTTAAACAGTGTCAGTTTCAAAAGTGTATAAATGTTCAATATCATATACCAAATAAATAAGCGGCATCTTGTGAAACCAAATGTCCCCATTAAAAAAATAGAAGTTGCGGAAGAAAACAAAAATAAACAAAACAAGTCCTCATGGTCTTTCAACGGAAAGGTGGAAGGACCTTATGACTGGATTTCTATCAGAAAAAACGGTTTTTAATTTTTTTGAATTGGTTCAACAGTTTTAGTATAGGTCTTCCTTTTAATTGCTTACACATCTGACTATAAGCATTTCAAAGCAGTGTAAATTCACATGATAAACATGTTATAATTGTGAATATGAAGCATGTAATATATGTGTAATTAAGACATACAGCATCCATTCATTATACTAATTACTTAATACAGCAATAGTTTTAAGGCAAACCTTTTTTCATATAACTGAATAGATTCATACTAAAGAGTTTCCCCCATATATTCCAGATATAAAGAGAAAAGAAATGGCCTCATCAGTCAACCAACTTTGCACAATTTGCCATGATGATGGAATCTCCAACTCAGCAGTCACATGGTGCACAGAATGTGAGGTTTTATTTTGTGGAGACTGTGAAAAACCTCACAGCAAGTCAAGATTGTCTAAGAACCATAAAACCATGTCAGCAGTAGATTACCAAAAGTTACCTACATTCATGCAAGAAATAAGTAGTCAGTGCAGAGACCACAACAAGAAGTTTGAACTTTACTGTTCTTTCCATGCCTGTCCATGTTGTGTCCAGTGTGTCACTGATAAGCACCAAAAATGTCAAGACATGAAACCCTTGTCTGATATCCTACAGCAAGTAAAATCATCTGCCTCAGTACAACTTTTTGAAAAAGATTTGAATGATGTGAAGGAAAACTTCGATACAGCCATAAAGTACCTGAAAACCAGGATCAGTACCATCAACATTCAGAAAACCAAAGCCGTTGAGGAAATCCTGTATTCGAGGAAGACGATCGATGATTACTTAGACAAATTAGAGCAAGACATACTTAATGATTTAGAGTCTAAACCTTCAAAGCTTAAATCAAACATGGCCACTCTCGTGCAACAAATGGAACAGCAAGTCAGTCAGATAAATCAAATGCAGAGTCAGTTTACCAAAATGACACAACATGCAACAGAGCTACAAATGCATATTGGTCTGAGAGAAATTGAGAAAACTACATCACAAATGGCAAAATATTTAGAAGATTTAGAAAGTGGAGACAACTTCATTGAAAAGAATCTAGAGGTAAACATTTCCTCTGCTCTTCAATCAATATTACAAGATGTCAAATCATTTGGAGATATTAATATAAATAGCACCTCTTCTACTCTACAAATAAAGGCTGGAAGAAAAGATCAAGCCCAACACTTAGTTCCAAAATATCCCAGGATTGAAAAAATGAAGCCATCATTGTTGACAAGACTGAAAATTCCAAAAGATAAGAAGTCTTTAAGTATATTTGCCTGTCTTATACTACCTGATGGCAAATTTATATTACTTGATTACAATAAAAGACAAGTACTGCTGTTCAGTAATGATGGCATATTCATCAGAAAAGTAGTTACATTCAAATATTATACATGTGATGCTTGCTTTGTCAGAAATAATACAGTGGCTGTCGCATTAAGATTAGAAAACAAGACAGCAATGGTGGATATAGAAAAGAATAAAATTATTCACAAAATTAACCTTTCTCATTATTGTTATGGAGTAGCAAGTGATGGTAAATCTTTGATCATCAGTAGTGGTAGTAATGGTGGCCAGTGTACTACAGTGAATCTGAATGACATGTCTCATACCATCGTAGAAGGAATGGGAGGAGTGTATCATATATCATTATTCCAAAGAAATATCTATGGTACCATTTACAGTGAAAACAAAGTCTGCTGCTATAATAGCACTGGAGAACCTCTGTGGACATTTCAGCACCGAGACATTGCCAGCCCAGTAGGACTTACATTAGACAAGAATGGCTTTGTTTATATAGTTTCTTGTGAAAACAGCAGTATTGTGGTAGTATCACCAGATGGAAAAACCTGTAAGACCGTACTATCTCAAGCAGATGGAATCAAATCTGTTTCTGCAATAGACATCAACAGAGAAAGAGGAATGATGATAGTGTCAAGTAAAATAAGTGATGATAGTAGATACTATGATTCAGCTTTTGTTTACAAAATTTAAAATGTTATTTTATTTTATTCTTTTAATAAAAGAATATCTGTGCATAGTGTTCAATGATTATCAAGGGCATGATATCTTCCTTATAAAGGCATCACAATCCTTTATTTGTTCAGCTAGCTATAAAACCAGGTTTAATCCACCATTTTCTACATAAGGAAATGCCTGTACCAAAACAGGGACGAAAGATACCATAGGGACAGTCAAACTCATAGATCGAAAAAACAAACTGACAACGCCATGGCCAAAAATAAAAAGACAAACAGACAAATAATAGTACAGATGACACAACATAGAAAACTAAAGACTAAGCAACACGAACCCCACCAAAAACTGGGGGTGATCTCAGGTGCTCCGGAAGGGTAAGCAGATCCTGCTCCACATGTGGCACCCGTCGTATGTGCTTATGTTATTACAAATCCGGTAAATAGTTAAATTCGGTAGGTCACATTCGTGAAAAGGGAAGGGTATTGTAGTTACGACATAAGGAACATATACGACATCATCTGTGAAATGGTTATTCCATAACAGTCAACCAACTTGTGATGGCGTCCGTAAAATTTACGAAGGGATGATTTCAACTTCACCATTTGGAACTCTTGGTTTAATAGCTTCCTTGTGAGCAGCAATCCTCTATCAAGGAAATCATGATAGGAAATACAAGCCCGGGAATATCGTATCAATTGGGAGATATATACTCCGTATGCAGGCGCTGCTGGAAAGTTGCTACATAGAAATGGAAAGTTCACAATTGGGAAGCTGAAATCATCTCATTTGTCGTAAAGTTTTGTTTTAAACCGACCCTCATTGTCAATTTCTAGATGTAAGTCGTCAAGATATGAGGCACACTTAACTGTATCTGTAGTATCCTTTATCTCTAGTTCGATGGGATAGATTCATTCAACATAGTCACCAAATTTTGTATTATTAAGAGAGAGAACATTATCTATATAGCTGAACGTAAAGTTAAAGGATATTGCTAACTTTTTATCTTTCTTCCTAAAAAGATCCTGTATGAAGTCAGCCTCATAATAATAAAGAAACAAGTCGGCAAGAAGAGGGGCACAATTGGTTCCCATTGGAATTCCGACAGTCTGTTGAAAAACGCGTCCTCCAAACGTAACAAATATGTTGTCAATCAAGAAATCAAGCATCTTGATAATGTCAGTTTCAGAGAATTTTTTGTTTGAATCAGAGTGATTCTTTACAAAGTAGGATTTATCCCTCCCCAAGACAAGATACTTGTACACCAAGTCAGGAATATGACAGTTGTTTTCCATTCGTTTGATGTGTTTGAGCTTTTGATTTTGCCATTTGATAATGGACTTTCTGATTTGAATTTTCCTTTGAGTTCAGTATTTTTGTTATTTTACATTTTATTATAAGAATACATGTTTGTTCATTTTTCATATGATAAAAAGAGATTTATCTTTTTTTCAAATCACAAACCATAAAGTATTAAAAAAGAAAACAATAATTAAAAAAAAGAAAATAACATGTATTAGAAGCACTTTCAGTATTTACCTTCATTATATATATAGAACCAAACAATTTAAAAGTTAAAGATATATATATCAACACTTGAAAACATGAGCTATATCCCAAAAAGATCCATAAAAAGAATAACCAAATCAACTGAAAGTCAACTGTACATTGAAGTTTCTCTCTATCATAAGTTTCTGTAAAAAAAAAAAAAGAATTGGGAAAAAAAATCATCTTTCAAGGGCAATAACTCCTATAAGGGATCAATTGATGATTTCAGTCATGTTGACTTATTTGTAGGTCTTAACTTTGCTGAACATTTTTGCCAAGTAAAGTATCTCTCTATCTAGCATAGTTTCTATAAAAAAAAAATTAATTTTAAAAATCATCTTCAAAGGGCAATAACTCCGAAGAGGGATCAATTGATTATTTCTGTCATGTGACTTATTTGTAGATCTTACTTCCCTGAACATTTTTGCTGTCTATATTTTCTCTTTATCTATAACAGTTTCAAGATAATAACCAAAAACTAAGAAATTTCATATAAGGCGTTGCAGAAAAAAAACCCATTTACATGGCTTTTCAAGATGTCATAATTATTAGGACTAAGAGATAGGTAGCATTAGCCACCCAGATCATTAATTTTTTTAGGGGGCATGGGTTTTATCTAGGGACAATTTTTCCATCTTTAATGTAAAACATACTCTTTCTATAGAAAATAAAATATTTTCCCCAAAACTGAACAATCAAAGTTTCCACCAAAATTCACTTATGATCAGAAAACTTGGATAAAAAATAGCATGTTTAGTGTATTATTTGTAGATCTTGTCTTTTGCTATATAACATTTCTACCTACCTGTTATAGTTTTCAAAATAAAAGTAAAAATTCAAAAAGTTGTAAAAAATCGTCATTAAAGGGCAATAACTTCAATCAGGAGTCATCTGATAATTTCTGTCATGTGACTTATTTGTAGATCTTGACTTGTTGATCATTTTGGATTTTCTATGTTTTCTTTTTATCCATTATAGGTTTTTAAGATACAAGGCAAAAACGCCACAATTGGTAAAAATAGTCATTAAAGGGCACTTACTCAAACAAGGAGTTGTCTGATGATTTCAGCTATGTTCACTTATTTGTAGATCTTGTCTTCCTAACCAATTTCCTAATAAAAATTAATCTATTATAGTTTTCAAAATAATAGACAAAATCAAAAATATTGATAAAATTAGACATTTAAGGGCAATAAGAAGTAATCTGACAGTTTTGACGGAAATGGACAGCATGTAGATCTCAACATTGTGAACATTTCTGCCCCTGTCAGATTTTCTCTATTCTTACGGGTTTTCAAGATAATAGACAAAACTTGCATTTTAACCCTATGATCTATTTTTAGCCATGTCATCCATCTTGGTTGACAGGAAGGGTCATCAGACACATTTTCTAAACTAGATACCCCAAAAATGATTGTGGCCAAGTTTGGTTAAATTTGGCCCAATAGTTTCGGAGGAGAAGATTAAAAGCAAAGTTTTCATATTCACTAGCTAGATATATATAGATCTGGCCCCAATTATGTACTTATTAGAACTTTTAAATACTAGTTTATCTGAAATAAAAACCTTTTTTCGTCCACCTAAGAGCTAACTGAATGTGTACATGTATTATGTCATGATACTAAGTCCTACATGTTTGTACTAAACAAATTCCATTTTTTTTTAAGTGTTTAATAAAACAAAAGGTTGTGAAAATTGTTTTTATTTTATATACAAAAGTTCTTTTTATTTGCTTGCTTACAAAAACTCTTGATTTTTTCAAAGAATGTTAAGTGCTTCAATTACATATTAGTCATATCAAATTTGTGTTTATACATAAAACAATTAAACTGTTCTATTTCAATTTAAAAACACCAATTCTATGAAAGTGTTCCGGAATATTGGACATTTTATAATTTCTTCCCTGTGTACATCCCTTTCTGTCGAAATGTTGTTGTGTTCATGGTAAGAGTTTTCAAATAATTCAATTGCTCATTTATTTCTATAACTAAAAATTCTAAATTTTTAAACTCTGGCAGGGCTTTAGGGGGGGGGGGGGTGACAGGGCCAATAATTTCAATGGATTAAAATACTTATTTTACACAAGGATCAAAATGGAGATGTGTTGTATATGTATGTCAATGAAACATCATCCCAATGACACACAAGAGTGCACACAATGAAATGTCTCACCTTCTTTACTAATCATTGATATTATGTTGATAGTCCTAAATATAAAGCTTTATTACAACTGTCACATAAACTTAACATTAACCAAGTAAACTAAACATTGACCAATGAACCATGAAAATGAGGTCAAGGTCAGATGAACCATGCTAGGCAGGCATGTACAGCTAACAATTCTTCCATACAACAAATATAGTTGACCTATTGCTTATAGTTTAAGAAAAACAGACCAAAACACAAAAACTTAACACTGAGCAAAGAACCTTGAAAATGAGGTCAAGGTCAAATAAAACCTGCTTGACTGACAAATAGATCATAAAATATTTCCATACACAAAATATAGTTGAACTATTGAATATAGTATTAGAAAAAAAGACCAAAACTCAAAAACTTAACTTTGACCACTGAACCATGAAAATGAGGTCAGGGTCAGATGACACCTGCCTGCTAGACATGTTCACCTTACAATCATTCCATACACCAAATATAGTAGACCTATTACATGCAGTATTAGAAAAAAAGACCAAAACGCAACAAGAGTGCACACGCTGAAATGTCTCGCCTTCTTTACTAATCATTGATATTATGTTGATAGTCCTAAATATAAAGCTTTACTACAACTATCACATACACTTAACATGATCCAAGAAAATGAGGTCAAGGTCAGATAAACCAAACAAGAAATACATGTACACCTTACAATCATTCTATACACTAAATATAGTTGACCTATTGTTTATAGTTTCTAAGATACAGACTTAACCAAGAAAACTAAACATTGACCAATGAACCAAGAAAATGAGGTCAAGGTCAGATGAACAATGCCAGGCAGACATGTATTACAGCTTGCAATCCTTCCATACAACAAATATAGTTGACCTATTGCTTATAGTATTAGAAAAACAGACCAAAACACAAAAACTTAACACTGAGCAATGAACCATGAAAATGAGGTCAAGGTCAAATAAAACCTGCAAGACTGACAGGTACATCATAAAATATTTCCATACACCAAATATAGATGACCTATTGCATATAGTATTAGAAAAAAAGACCAAAACTCAAAAACTTAACTTTGACCACTGAACCATGAAAATGAGGTCAAGGTCAGAAGACACCTGCCCGCTAGACATGTACACCTTACAATCATTCCATACACCAAATATAGTAGACCTATGGCATACAGTATAAGAAAAACAGACTAAAACACAAAAACTTAACTATAACCACTGAACCATGAAAATGAGGTCAAGGTCAGATGACACCTGCCAGTTGGACATGTACACCTTACAGTCCTTCCATACACCGAATATACTAGACCTATTGCTTATAGTATCTGAGATATGGACTTGACCACCAAAACTTAACCTTGTTCACTGATCCATGAAATGAGGTCGAGGTCAAGTGAAAACTGTCTGACGGGCATGAGGACCTTGCAAGGTACGCACATACCAAATATAGTTATCCTATTACTTATAATAAGAGAGAATCTAACATTACAAAAAATCTTAACTTTTTTTTCAAGTAGCCACTGAACCATGAAAATGAGGTCAAGGACATTGGACATGTGACTGACGGAAACTTCGTAACATGAGGCATCCATATACAAAGTATGAAGCATCCAGACCTTCCACCTTCTAAAATATAAAGCTTTTAAGAAGTTAGCTAACGCCGCCGCCGCCGGATCACTATCCCTATGTCGAGCTTTCTGCGACAAAAGTCGCAGGCTCGACAAAAACTTAACTTTGACCACTGAACCATGAAAATGAGGTCAAGGTCAGATGACACCTGCCAGCTAGACATGTACACCTTACAATCATTCCATACACCAAATATTGTAGACCTATTGCATACAGTATAAGAAAAACAGACCAAAACACAAAAACTTAACTATAACCACCGAACAATGAAAATGAGGTCAAGGTCAGATGACACTTGCCAGCTAGACATGTACACCTTACAATCCTTCCATACACCAAATATAGTAGACCTATTGCATACAGTATAAGAAAAACAGACCAAAACACAAAAACTTAACTATAACCACTGAACCATGAAAATGAGGTCAAGGTCAGATGACACCTGCCAGTTGGACATGTACACCTTACAGTCCTTCCATACACCGGATATACTAGACCTATTGCTTATAGTATCTGAGAAATGGACTTGACCACGAAAACTTAACCTTGTTCACTGATCCATGAAATGAGGTCGAGGTCAAGTGAAAACTGTCTGACAGGCATGAGGACCTTGCAAGGTACGCACATACCAAATATAGTTATCCTATTACTTATAATAAAAGAGAATTTAACATTACAAAAAATCTTAACTTTTTTTTCAAGTAGTCACTGAACCATGAAAATGAGGTCAAGGACATTGGACATGTGACTGACGGAAACTTCGTAACATGAGGCATCCATATACAAAGTATGAAGCATCCAGGTCTTGCACCCTCTAAAATATAAAGCTTTTAAGAAGTTAGCTAACGCCGCCGCCGCCGGATCACTATCCCTATGTCGAGCTTTCTGCGACAAAAGTCGCAGGCTCGACAAAAAACCAGAAGAATTCGTTGTTGTTTATTGGGCATGGCATGTTATATTAGATTTAAATTTACATTCAAATCATTAGTTTAACAGTTAATAGTTATTGCAAATGAAGCACTGGAGATGCCCAGTTCTGCCATACAAACCCTAAATTAATTAAAAAACCAATATTTAGAGAACAATTAGAGGTCTTTCCACCCAAAATGCACATATTTTAACAGGAAAACTTTAACCTTGAACATAATTTCAAGGTCATAAAGCAAGGAGCTTAAATCAAAAGACCATAGGTATCTATATAAAGTTGTAATTTTAAATATAAGAGGGGAGAAAACTCCCATTAAATGTCAATGTACCCTTCCAACCAAAATTTATGTGTTTCAATTTATGTAACAATTTGGTAAAAATATTTTGTTGATATCATATATGGTTACTGAGGAGAAGCAATAATGAGCCAATATCAAAATTTAAAACATACCTAATGATCTTTGACCTTGACCTCAATTTCTTTTTGGTGGACCAAGGACCTCAAATCAAAAGACCCTAGGTCTTTATTAGTAATGGTTTGCCAGTTACAAATATGTTTCACTTATTTCACATACAGAATGGGAAATAACTCTCAAATGGAATCTATAACGCTTCCATTAAAATTAAACAAAACATCTTCAGAATATACAGAGCAATTTGGAAAAATAAATTGAAGATTTCTTTGATGGTTGCAATATACTAGAAAATAGTGGTCGGGGAGATAACTCTTACAAGGAAAAGTGTTTGGTTAAACAGTGTCAGTTTCAAAAGTGTACAAACTGTTCAATATCATATACCAAATAAATAAGCGGCATCTTGTGAAACCAAATGTCCCCATTAAAAAAATAAAAGTTGGGGAAGAAAACAAAAATAAACAAAACAAGTCCTCATGGTCTTTCAACAGAAAGGTGGAAGGACCTTATGACTGGATTTTCATCAGAAAAACCGGTTTTTTATTTTTTTGAATTGGTTCAACAGTTTTAGTATAGGTCTTCCTTTTAATTGCTTACACATCTGACTATAACCATTTCAAAGCAGTGTAAATTCACATGATAAACATGTTATAATTGTGAATATGAAGCATGTAATATATTTGTTATTACATATCAAGACATACAGCATTCATTTATTATACTAATTACTAAATACAGCAATAGTTTTAAGGCAAACTTTTTTTCATATAACTGAATAGATCCATACTAAAGAGTTTCCCCCATATATTCCAGATATAAAGAGAAAAGAAATGGCCTCATCAGTCAACCAACTTTGCACAATTTGCCATGATGATGGAATCTCCAAGTCAGCAGTCACATGGTGCACAGAATGTGAGGTTTTCTTTTGTGGAGACTGTGAAAAACCTCACAGCAAGTCAAGATTGTCTAAGAACCATAAAACCATGTCAGCTGTAGATTACCAAAAGTTACCTACATTCATGCAAGAAATAAGTAGTCAGTGCAGAGATCACAAGAAGAAATTTGAACTTTACTGTTCTTTCCATGGTTGTCCATGCTGTGTCCAGTGTGTCACTGATAAGCACCAAACATGTCAAGACATGAAACCCTTGTCTGATATCCTAAAGCAAGTAAAATCATCTGCCTCAGTTCAACTTTTTGAAAAAGATTTGAAGGATATGAAGGAAAACTTCGATACAGCCAAAAAGTACCTGAAAACCAGGATCAGTACCATCAATACTCAGAAAACCAAAGCCATCCAGAATATTCGGTATATGAGGAAGTCGATCAATGATTACTTAAACAAATTAGAACAAGACATACTTAATGATTTAGAGTCCACTCTCGTGCAACAAGTGGAACAACGAGTCAGTCAGATAAATCAAATGCAGAGCCAGTTTACCAAAATGACACAACATGCTTCAGAGCTACAAATGTATATTGGTCTAAGAGAGATTGAGAAAACTATAGCACAAACAGCAAAATATATAGAAGATTTAGAAAGTGGAGACAACTTCATTGAAGAGAACCAAGAGGTAAACATTTCATCTGCTCTTCAATCAATTTTACAAGATGTCAAATCATTTGGAGATATTAATATCAATACCACCTCATCTACTCTACAAATAAAGGCAGGGAGAAAAGATCAAGCCCAGCACTTGGTTCCAAATATTCCTTGAATTGAACAAATAAAGCCAACCTTTTTGACAAGACTGACAATTCCAGAAGATATGAAGTCTGTGAATATAACTGCCTGTCTTATACTACCTGATAGCAGATTTATAATAACTAATTTCAACAAAAAAGAACTACTGCTGTTCAGTAATGATGGCATCTTCATCAGAAAAGTAGTTACATTCACAGGATATCCATTGGATGCCTGCTTTGTCAGAAATAATACGGCAGCTGTCACATTAGGATACGCATACCAGACAGTACTGGTGGATGTAGAAAAGGAATAAAATTCTTCAAACAATTAAACTTTCTCATTATTGTAATGGAGTAGCAAGTGATGGTAAAACTTGGTTCATCAGTGGTGGTAACAGCCAGAGTACTAGAGTGAATCTGAATGACATGTCTAAAACAATCTTAGAAGGAATGGGAGGAGTGGGACCTATTGCAATTTTCCAAGGAAATATCTATGGCACATATTCCTCTGAAAACAAAGTCTGCTGCTATAATAGTACTGGAGAACCTCTCTGGACATATCAGAACCAAGACATTACCGAACCAAAAGGACTTACTTTAGACAAGAATGGCTTTGTTTATATAGTTTCTGTAGGAAACAACAGTATCCTGGTAGTATCACCACATGGTAAGACCTGTAAGACAATACTATCAGAGGCTGATGAAATAAAAGATCCGTGGGCAATAGACATTAAAAGAGAAACAGGAATGATGATAGTGTCAAATAAAATAAGTGATGATAACAATGATACAGCTTTTGTATATAAAATTTAAAATATTATTTTATTTCATTTTATTTTTTAATAATAGGATATCTGTGCATAGTGATAAATGATATCAAGGGCACTTTATCTTCCTCATTGAGGCATCTACATCCTTTATCATTGGAATACATGTTTGTTCACTTTTCATAAAATCAAATTCAAGTAGCAAAAAGAAAACAGGAATTAAAAAATTTAAATAACATGTGTCGGAAGCACTTTCAGTATCAACCATCTTTAGAACCAAACAGTTTGAATGCCAATGATATATTATTACTAGAAAACTTGATATGACGCACTGACCCATAAAAATAATAGCCAAACCAACCTAATGTCAACTGTGTATGGAAAGGGATAGAAACTTTAGTTTCTTAATAATTCCTAAATTAATCAATGAATACCTTAACTAGAGGCTCTCAAGAGCCTATGTCGCTCACCTGTATTTAATGATGCTTTGGAAATCATGTAAAATAAGGTTTAAATCATAATTAATAGTATTAGATATTAGATATTATAATGATATCTAAGATAATAACAAAAAACTGCAAAATTTTTGTAAAATTACTAACTCAGGGGCAGCAACCCAACAACAGGTCGTCGGATTCGTCTGAAAATTTCAGGGCAGATAAATCTAAATCTGATGAACATTTTTGCCACATGTCAGATTTGCTCTAAATGCTTTAGTTTCAGAGATATAAACCAAAAACTGCATTTTACCCCTATGTTCTATTTTTAACCAAGTCGGCCATGATGGTTGGAAGGCGGGGTCATCGGACAAATTTTTTAAACTAAATACCCTAATAATGATTATGGCCAAGTATGGTTAAATTTGTCTCAGTAGTTTCAGAGAAGAAGATTTTTGTAAAAGATTACAAAAATTTACAAAAAATTGTTAAAAATTGACTATTAAGGGCAATAAGTCCTAAAGGGGTCGACTGACAATTTTGGTCTTGGCAACTTATTTGTAGATCTTACTTTGCTGAACATTATTGCTGTTTACAGTTTATCTCTATCTATAATGATATTCAAGATAATAACCAAAAACTGCAAAATTTCCTTAAAATTACCAATTCAGGGGCAGCAACCCAACAACGGATTGTCAGATTTGTCTGAAAATTTCAGGGCAGATAGATCTTGACCTGATAATCAGTTTAACCCATGTCAGATTTACTCTAAATGCTTTGGTTTCAGAGATATAAGCCAAAATCTACATTTTACCCCTATGTTCTATTTTTAGCCATGGCGGCCATCTTGGTTGGTTGGCGGGGTCATCGGACACATTTTTTATTTATAATAACTAATTTCAACAAAAAAGAACTACTGCTGTTCAGTAATGATGGCATCTTCATCAGAAAAGTAGTTACATTCACAGGATATCCATTGGATGCCTGCTTTGTCAGAAATAATACGGCAGCTGTCACATTAGGATACGCATACCAGACAGTACTGGTGGATGTAGAAAAGAATAAAATTCTTCAAACAATTAAACTTTCTCATTATTGTAATGGAGTAGCAAGTGATGGTAAAACTTGGTTCATCAGTGGTGGTAACAGCCAGCTGAGTACTAGAGTGAATCTGAATGACATGTCTAAAACAATCTTAGAAGGAATGGGAGGAGTGGGACCTATTGCAATTTTCCAAGGAAATATCTATGGCACATATTCCTCTGAAAACAAAGTCTGCTGCTATAATAGTACTGGAGAACCTCTCTGGACATATCAGAACCAAGACATTACTGAACCAAAAGGACTTACTTTAGACAAGAATGGCTTTGTTTATATAGTTTCTGTAGGAAACAACAGTATCCTGTTAAAAATTGACTATTAAGGGCAATAACTCCTAAAGGGGTCGACTGACAATTTTGGTCTTGGCAACTTATTTGTAGATCTTACTTTGCTGAACATTATTGCTGTTTACAGTTTATCTCTATCTATAATGATATTCAAGATAATAACCAAAAACTGCAAAATTTCCTTAAAACTAGATACCCTAATGATGATTGTGGCCAAGTTTGGTTAAATTTGGCCCAGTGGTTTCAGAGGAGAAGATTTTTGTAAAAAGGTAACAACGACAGACGACGGACGACGGACGCCAAGTGATTAGAAAAGCTCACTTGGCCCTTTGGGCCAGGTGAGCTAAAAAGGTATGTTATAGACAGCCAATATCTGCTAAAATGGAGAATTATAAACATCAAATGAACAAGACCTGGGTATGATTAATTACATGTTTTCTATGACATCTATCCCAGTTGACCTTTTCTTTTGACATCAAGACCATTTTACTTTCAGTTTTGTGAAAATGATAGTTTTCTATAGTTTATTTTCACTAAACAGACATATAAAAAGCATAGGTTATCCATTTGGATCAAGGGATCCTGGTCCTCCTCCTTAAGGTCACAATAACTAGTAATTAGTCCCCTACTGACAAAGTCGAAGGGGACTTTAGGTTTGCACTCCGTCCGTCTGTCCATCTGTCCGTCTGTCCATCCGTCAGTCCGGCAAATCAGCTTTCTACACTTTTTTTCTTCGTTCTTGAAGATATTGATTTGATATTTGGTATATTGTTTTATCATGACAAGTTATAGATCAAGTCCAAATTTTGTTCCGGTCTGATGGACCATAACTCTGGACCATATCTAATGTTAGAGTACTATGTTAAACCAAATTTCTGTACAAAGGGAGATAACTCATTTTTTAAAAGACATTCTTTGTTAAATTATTTGAAGAATTTTTACAGGTTTGTTTGTTATTTAGTATAAACTAATTTTCTGAATGCTATATACATTTGTGTATATCAAAAAAAATTATGGAGAGAAATCCTTTAATTAGATAATAATCTATTTTTATTAATGTATATATTTCAATACATTACGTTGTGTAGATAAAAGTTGTTGACATTTTATAGATAAGTTACAAATCTATATTAGTTTGTGACAAATGAAAGAAAAAAATATTTGGAACTATTAATTATATCTGATTATAATTTGAAATAGATATACACTGTGTTACATCATATCTAATTCTAGAGAACTATTAATCATATCTAATGTTTTTTTCATCATGATTATAAAATATTGATTGATAATTGGTATATAGTTTTATCATGACAAGTTACAGATCAAGTTCAAATTTTTGTTTCGGTCTAATAATTTTGTTCAGAGTTATGGTCCTTGGACTTGAAAAAATCACCCATATAATCAGTTTTCAACACTGTTTTAAGTCATGCTTGAAGATATTGACATAATATTTACTTTTTGTTTACACCATGACAAGTTATAGAAAAAGTTAGCATTTTGTTCCATTATAATGAATTTTTACCAGGTAGGGGACTATGTATTGCCATGCAATACTCCCAGAATGATTGTTTTATTAGTGTCAGCCATTCTTATAGTTATATTCTCCACTGAAAATCTAACTTAGTCACTATGATAATTCAGTTAGTCAAATATTAGCAGAAAGGTAGTCAACAGAAAAAATGTCTACCCATCAAGTCATAATGACTACATGGATGGTCAATTTGACCATATTTGTGGTCACTGCACCACATGGCATATAGAATCGGTTTTCGTGTGCACTCTTTCACAGGCTTTAATCATTCCTTTGTTCCCTGATGGTGTAGCTGTAAACAAACAAGGAGGCATGAACAAATCATTTTTTCAACAAACCCAATTGTTTAAAGTAAGTAACATGTAGATTTGTTTACTTACAAACATTAGATTTAAGAAAAAAAAGTTCAATAAATGTTATAATGATACATGTTGAGGTATTGACAATAAAATAAAGGGGAGATAAGTATACAGGATGTCAATTTTAATACACATACAACATATTGTCGATTAAAGAGTATTTACAGGTATTTGTTTTTTAAAAGGGGATTAAATAAACACTGCAATGGATATTCACAACAAAAAATTAAAAAGAACTTAGGATCTTGGAGCTTACATCAATATTGTGTTGTAGAATGGGTGACTGCTAAGATTTTTATGCTTAAATTATATTGTTGTGTTACAAGATGAGTGAATTTGTATATCCTGGTGATTACATTAAATGTTGTATTATAAGATGGGTGACTGTCAAGATTGTCAGGATTGTAGTTCTTTGCAGGTGTGGATCCAGGATTTGGAAAAAAGGGGGCTGGTAACCCAACGTTTGCAGAGTTACTTTCTTGAAGTCTATGCATTTAGCTTATAATTTGTAGCTCCATAAGGGGTACCAGGCCCTTGCCTCACCCTTAAATCCGTCTCTGCTTTCAAAACAATGTAATGGTATAAGATGGGTGGCTGTCAAGATCCTGATGCTTACTTTACAATGTTGTGGTATAAAATGGGTGATTTTCAAGATCCTGTCATTTACATTACAATATTGTGGTATAAGACGGGTGACTGTCAAGATCCTGGTGCTTACATTACAATGTTGTGGTATAAGATGAGTGACCGTCAAGATCATGGTGCTTACATTACAATGTTGTGGTATAAGATGGGTGAATATCAAGATAATGGTGCTTACATTAAAATGTTGTTTTATAAGATGGGTGGCTGTCAAGATCCTGGTACTTACATTATAATATTGTGTTATAAGATGGGTGACTGTCAAGATTCTGGTGCTTACAATGTTGTGGTATAAGATAAGTGACTTAAGATATATGTGGTTGCATTGCACTTGTCTCTTCATGATATGAGTGAATGTAAGGATCATTGTGTCTGTATTACAATGATGTGAAGTCATTGATAAGAAAAAGAACTAGCAATATTCCAGTCTTGACAATACAAGTTGTACTTTTCAGGGATAAATTGACCAAGTATTGGTTTTAACACAACAAACATCTCTCAATTTGAAACACAATATGCATACATTTTTGCTCAACCTCCTCTGCTCGTGCTCAAGTACAATGTTACCAACATACCTGTCATGATCCTTATTTATTCAGATAAGTGTTCTAAATTGCGAGATCAAAGATTTTAAAAGTATTTTTGTTCATCTGACTGACATGAATGATACATTATTTATTGTTATCTTTCAGT